GGTAGAGTTCGGTAAAAACTGAGGGTAAGCAACGGTAGGGTTCGATAAAAACTTAACCGACGCAAAAAATAAAAAACCCATAAACAAGAATGGTAAACCGAACCGCAACGCAATTAAAAAAAAAAAAAAACAAGGAAAGTGTAAGTGTTTTCACCCAAAAAAATTACCATATTCACGAGCAAATTTGACTTAAGTGTTGGAGATTTCCGCTGGGACCCCTAACCGGCGTGTTCTGCAGGTCATCGGAGCTCAAGGCGAAGGGCGATTCGTGGTTGTGCCGGTTGAAAGCCTACTTGGATGCAATTTGCGTATTAAATTGACGTTGTTTGTGGGGAAAATATATTTATTTTATGGGCTACAAAGGACTTGACTTTTTTTTTTCCTCACAAATTTGTCAGAAGTTTCGAGGTCATGGCTTAACTCAAGAAATAGTTTGGGCAAAGTCATGGAGAAGGCATAGGCATCACATATCTCCATGGGAAGAGGACCACCACTCGATTGGTCAAAAGATACAACAGTCCAGGTCACGCGAAGGCCAAGCCTATTGGGACCTCATACAAGTTTGACCCCAGTGACATATCTTGTGCAAAGAACTTCGACTGTACGACCCCAAAGTTGTACTGACCCCTCATTTGTCCGAGCTCCATAAAGAACTTGACTTCTGATTACTTTGTTAAGGTCGATATGTACGCTAAGCTACTACAACGAGCTCCCTTATGAGGTCGGGCCCTGACATCGAGCTAAAGTTTTATCGAACCGGTCATACTAGAGCTAATTGTTCGAGTCGATTCATCGAGTTATTAATAAAAATATTTTTTTATTTAATTATATTAATAATAATAATAAGAGTTAAATTTGCATTACAATTGAATTGTATATTTAAGTTAAAAACTTGTATCTAATAGTTCCATTTAAAATTATTATTTGGTCAAATAAAACCTAAAACTTTTTATTTACCTTCCCTGTATTTTTCACAATAATTTGATTTTTCCTCTGAATCTAGGAATTCGATCGGGCCATATAAGTTGCAGAGTACAGGGTAACGGGATACGAAACCCAGATTCTTGTACAAATGAGTACAAAATCCAATTGATGGCTTCAAGGTGGCTGTTATAAGTTATACAACAATATACGCCACTTGCTTTGTGATCCCATTAATTTTCGCAAAATTCATTCAAAACCACACCGCTCTCCTCAGTGAACGGTTAACGAATGATGGAGAATAAAAGCTACTAATTAAATAAAAATTAAAAATCAATATAATAGAAATTTTGATTTGATTTTGAATTTGTAAATCAATGAATTAAAATATAATAATTAAAATTACTTTGATAAAATGAAGTAAAATAATAATCATAAATGACTGTAATTAAAATATGTGTCTAAATGAATATGAATTTTATTGAAAAATGTATGACAGTAATTAGTTTATATTATTTAATTTTACTTATCACGTTGAAAAGAATAAAGCTGAATTAAATGAATAATATATGTTTGTATTAAAATTCATAACAATTGTAGTTTCACCAAAAAAAAAATATTTTTCGGGGAATGGAAACCAAAAAATTTCCATTTTCAATTGCAACAAAAATTAAACTTAATGAGAGCATATGCAATGTTTTGGGTCTAATTTTGTTTGGCACGTAAATAGACTTAAGTTGTGAATGACATGGACAAAAATATATACAATAACAACAACATACCCAGTATATTCCCAACAGGTTGGGGTCTGGGGTGAACAAAAATATATGAAAGTACCAAAATTAATACCAATGTAAAGAGACTAGGTCTCTACTTGACTCTAAAATAGACTTAAAGATAAATCGAGTCTCTTTTTCTTGCTGTCCCAATCCAATTGCACTTGCATTGAATTATATATTTTTTAGACAGAGACTTTCGTACGTGGCATTTATATTTTTTTGAATGTACCCAAAACATTGTGTATGTTATTGGACAAACATGTGTACGTTAATGAATGTTCGATAATATTAGCGAGCATTAATTAATTTTATATTTATAAATATTTTTAGTAGGAAGTTATTAATAAAGTATCAAAATATATATTTATTTGAAAATTTATCATTTTCAAGCTCAAACGACATGAATCCAGTTAACAAAAAATATTATTATTTCTTCAATTAAATTGTCCTAACACGAAAAAAGAAAAACTAAAATTTTGACTAACCTATAAACAAGCGAACTCAAAGATAAAAATTTGAATATAATGGAATGTGAACTCGAAATTGTGAACTTTCTACTCCTACAATTTAATACTAGTTAGAATATACTGTTGAACAATACTAGTTAGAATATACTATTGGATTCAAATGACTATGATGAAATACTTTGAATAACTATGGTGACATTTGACCGAACTGCATATTTTTTTCCATCTTAATAAAATAAAACACATTTTATCCCCGTGTATGACCAAGAATCCATTACATGATTCTTGCAATGTTTATGTCAGCATTCACATTAAAATTCACTTTTTATTTCTACCCTAATTTCTTTTTCAGTTTTTTAATATAGGAAACCTACCACACTTTGTATCCCTCCACTGTTACTGAACACGAGAGTTCACCTACTTCACGTCTTCACCAATCCGAATCTCCGCCAATATCAATTTTAATTTAATAAATACTAACAGACTAACAGTGGTACAACATTCATTTATGATACGGGCATTTAATTTTAAATTTTTTCACTTAATAAATAAAAATACAAAATTAAAAGGTCTAATTATAAATTTTAAATACTTCTTATAACTTGCATTATAATTTTATGTAATCTATAAATGTATTTTATAAGAATATATACGGTTTTATTACATGCAATATGAATGTGAAATCTAAAATCGTTAAAAAATATTATTTTGATAATTATACATATAAAAAATTAATAAAAAATAAATAATTTAAAATATATTTATAATATAAGTTACTTTATAATTTTTTAAAAGATCTAATACTCCTTCTGTTTCGTTTTAAATGTCGTTGTAGGGTGTCAACTTTTTTGCAAATTAATTGTCGTTGGAAATATTATATTCATTCTTACATCTTTATTCTCTTTAACAAACATTATCTCTTATCATTATCTTTAAAAATCACCCATTAATAAATCAAAAACTAAATTTAATAAGATTAAAAAATAAGATTATTACACAACCCATTAAAATCGTAATTTAGAAGTTTTAAATTAAAACGACATTTAATAAGAAACGAGGGAGTATGCATTAATAAAGTCCAAAGTTACATGGATCTCCATAGTGAGAAACGGCGTGGGGAAAGACAACGACTTTAAAGAATCTTAGACTTTTCTTCATATTTTCTTCCTTTTTTTTATTTTTGTAATTTTTCCTTTTTCTTTTTCACTTAAAAATATTTATAAAACTAATAAAAGTAAATTAAATTATTTTTGGTGGAAAGATATCATATTACATTAATTTTAGCATTTATGTGCAATATGAGATATAATAATGAAAAAACCTGCGAGGGTTGATTGATTATTTTCTCAAGTAGAAATGTATACAAGCTGAATTTGAGTTTTTGATACATGCCTCGAGTTTTTATAGTAAAAAATAAATTGATAAATTGGGTTTGTGCTTGTTTATCAGTTTTAAAGAGTTGAATTATAAAAATTTATATAATTTTTTTTAGACTTATTTAGCCTAAACATGGTAAGTGACTCATTTGGTTTATGTAGATTTCCAATAACTGTAACATACATATATATAAAGACAAAGAATTTATTGTAATTTTTTTTATGTAAAAAAATTTTATTTTCCGCTCTTTCTGTAGGGTTAATTGTGACAAAAATTGTATATTTTATATTAATTGAGTAAAAGATTATTTAATTTTTTAAATGTGTTATCATATAATGTTGTTAAAACTAACAAATTATATTTTATACTAAATAGAATTATACTTTTCTTTAGTTTATTTATTCTAATATAAATATTATTTTTGTAATGTCTCACGAAGCAATTATCTTTTTAATAAATTAATTGGTTATAATGGTATAAACAAATTGTGATACTAGTAAATAATATATTTTCTACTAAATAATTGGTTCTGATCCTTAAAATTATATTATTCGTTACATATTAACCAATCAATGTAGTAATATAATGATAGTTTTGTATTGTTTATTTTCATTAATTTCAGGATTTTAAAATATAATATCATTATGTAAATTATAATATAGATTTAATATTACATGAATAACATTTTGTAATATAAAAATAATAACAATTGCAATTTGCCAATTACGTCACCAACCTTGAAGAGCCACTATAAATGTGACTCCCTGCACGCAACAATTTCCACAATAGCGATTGTTCTATTTTTCTTGAANATATATATATATATATATATATATATATATATATTCCGATTAGGGAACTATATTATCTGAGAATATTTGTGGGATTCTTATTTTCTGGCTATTCTTGTGTGTGCATTTGCATAGCTTGGTATTTCAAATTTATCAGCTGACGCTGATCTGAAATACGAATATTTAAATCTGTTTTGGTTACCGATATATGCAGTTAATGAAATTACTTCTTGATTTTTGTTTTTTCCGTTTCCTGTACTTACTAAGAATCTAAGATAAAAAATAAAAATGTATTATGATCTTTGATGGTGTTAATTTGCAATCAATTCTGTTGTGCGGATCTGCAGTTCTATTTTGACGTCCTATGTGGGTCTATTTTAATTGATTTATGTTTATTTGATTTTTCAAAACCATCTTTGTTTGTTACAAATTAGTGTAGGTTTGATGCGATTCTTGATTATTCTTGTCCTGTTGTGAAGTATTCCATTGTTTGCTTATTTATGGCATGTAAAATATACTTTCAGTTATACATTTATGAATTTTGAGGCATAATATTCCTATGATTCATTATGAGATAAAGTAAAATCATCTTCTGCTACTGCTGGTAAATTCAATTGTGTTGATCAATATTTGTTTCATTTGAACAATTAATTTGTTTTTCTGCTTCTTTGTTTACAGTTACATTAATTCAATTTATCGATTGTAACTCCTCATGTGCTGCAAATTATTTACAGGATTGGTGGATCAGGAATGGATATTAGGAGCAAAGCAAGGGTAAGTTTGTTCATTAAATTAATTTTAAGAATTGTTCATTGTGCCCTTTTGCACAGGTGTTTCCATATCAGCTGAAATAATCATTAAATTAAATATACTTTATTATTATTATTTTTTTTTTTTTTGCAGACTCTGCCGAAGCCAGTGACTGATCCTTCAAAACTTCCCAAGTGGAACTACGATGGCTCTAGCACTGGCCAAGCTCCCGGAGAGGACAGTGAAGTCATTTTATAGTAAGTGAAATATATTTCATTCTCTGTAGAATTTAACCATAAAAGATGGATTGATCGATCCCTATAGCCCAAAACTAGGCGTAAAGGTCTTCTTTTTTTGTTTTTTTGTTCGTTGTATCTGTCTTTGACATATGAAATTGCCTCAAAGTTTAACGCTCGTTATATTCAATGCCCACAGTCCTCAGGCAGTTTTCAAAGATCCATTCAGGAGGGGAAATAATATTTTGGTGAGTTGTACCTTTTGTTGCATGTCTTGTTCGCAAGTGTGTTAGGAATTTGGTTTTCTTATAGACTTTTCCTTTTTGTATTATTAGGTTATGTGTGATGCTTATACTCCAGCTGGTGAACCAATCCCGACGAACAAGAGACATAGTGCGGCGAAGATCTTCAGCCATCCTGATGTTGCTGCTGAAGAACCATGGTATGTATTGAATGATGGAAGTTTTTAATTTCTGGTGTATAACTTGTTCCTTTTCTTTTTTTTTTTCCCCCTTTCTGCACGCTATTCTCATGATGTAATTTGTTGCCAAAGGTATGGTATCGAGCAAGAGTACACCTTGTTGCAAAAGGATGTGAAGTGGCCTCTTGGATGGCCCGCAGGCGGTTATCCTGGTCCTCAGGTGATTTTCATTGTTGATTTTAGTACTGTCATTTTCTCGTCATTAATTGTGTCACGTCTATTGTGTTTTTATATTCCGGTGAATACAACTCTTGATGCTTGTTGAGGGAATTGCACATTTCTTGAGTCCATATGTAGAATATTGTACTTATTTCATTTGGGATTCTTATGGAGACTGGTGGTTAGCAATTGCAGACTATGATTATGTATTCTTTATTTATTTTCTTTTATTTGGCTTTGATTTTCTATGTCAGATCTACATAAGGTTTGCCTGGCAAGTAAATAGAAAAACAAAAAAAAAAAACTAGAAATATCCATTTTTTTTCTCTCTTGGGGTAATTATTATAAATTATAATCTAGTTTTTAATTGCTTGTAGGGCCCATATTACTGTGGAATTGGAGCTGACAAAGCTTTTGGTCGTGACATTGTGGATGCTCACTACAAGGCTTGTCTTTATGCCGGAATTAATATTAGCGGCATCAATGGGGAGGTGATGCCCGGCCAGGTAATTAAGTTGGCTGCCTTAGAAGATATATATATATATATACGAGATCATTTATTTCACATTAATTGTTCTCTTCTCCTCTTTTTCTTCTTCTTCTTTTAAAGAGGATCAATAGTCTTAACATTCTCCTGTTATCTCATATGTATTGTTCAGTGGGAATTTCAAGTTGGACCTGCTGTCGGCATCTCAGCTGGTGATGAGGTTTGGATTGCTCGTTACATATTGGAGGTAAAATTCTAGTCCGTTTTCCTGCTTTTAATTTTGAACTCATGTGGATATTAACCAATATTTTGCGGAAATATTTTTTTATTCCTTTGATAGAGGGTTGCTGAAATGGCTGGAGTGGTTGTCTCATTCGACCCCAAGCCTATCCAGGTAAACTTTTTCTTTTTTGGTCCATTTTGGCGTAGTCCTTTTTACTAGGGACCGCAAACTAATGTTTTGACATGGATATTACTGTAATTGTCGATTTATTCTCTACTTCCAGGGTGACTGGAATGGAGCTGGTGCTCATACTAACTATAGGTGAAATTTCTATTTTCTTTTGATTGTTTTTAATTAATATTTTGATTTGATATATGTATATGGCAATTGTGATGCATTTAAATTATTATATCTCGTTAAGCTCTCTTACATTTTCTCTCTAAAATTAAATCCTCATTCAGCACCAAATCCATGAGGGCTGACGGTGGCTATGAAGTCATCAAAAAGGCCATTGAGAAGCTCAGCCATAGGCACATAGAGCACATTGCCGCCTATGGTGAGGGCAACGAGCGCCGCTTAACCGGAAAACACGAGACTGCTGACATCAAATCTTTCAAATGGGTAAAAAGCTAAAAACACAATTATCTTTTTTCTTGTTCCTTTTCTTTTCACACCTTACCTCAATTTTTTTCTAAAAACATATATTTTTTTCGAAATAGCAAGTAAATATTGCAATTTTTGCTAGTACAAACTTGACTACAAAGTATATAATTTTCGGTGTAAGGAATTGGTAACAATTTTTTAATTTTTTTTTTACGCAGGGAGTTGCAAACCGTGGTGCATCGGTTCGTGTGGGCCGGGACACTGAAAAGGAAGGGAAGGGTTACTTTGAGGACAGGAGGCCGGCCTCGAACATGGACCCTTACGTTGTTACCTCCATGATTGCTGAGACCACCATCCTCGGCAAACATTAAGCATTATTATTCTTCAAGTGATTGCTGTTTTCGCTCGTTTTATCTTATGGGGAAAAAAATCTGGGGTGTTGCTGGCTAATACACTTTCATGTTGGCATTATCCTGTGACAGCCTTTGCATTTTAGGATATATGCTCTATTGTTTGTGTTTGATTGTGGCCCTGTTTGTTCAGACAGGTAGGATTAAATAATGTTGAATTGTTTGGTTTGGTCTTGTTATGAATGTTGCCTAGGCTTTTGTTTATGGTTTGGGATTATAATGTTGTCCTTTTTGTCTTTTGTTTGATATATGCTATCCTTTTCCTTTGTCATATTTAAATGGTTGCTTTGCACATGTTTTGCCTTGAAGTGGTTTTTTCTTCAAAATCATTTGGGGTTAGCTCAATGACCAAAACTTTTCAAAGAGATGGGAGAATAAATAAAATGCTATTTGGAGAGTTTTGGTGTTTAATCATATTTAATGATAATACTGATATTTGAGATTAATAACGAAGGAATTAGTCAAAGAACTTTATCTTAACTAGATAGCTCAAAAGATATAGCCATACAAATATAAAGATTAGTTAGAGATAGACTCCTAGTCTTGTGCATATTTCATCTCCTTGGGGGCGACAATTCAATAATTCTGTTAACAAAAGTAGATTTACATTTGGGATCGTTACAAATGTTTGGACAAATAATCATAAGCTATGAATTATTCAGTTACGTTGAATCACTTTTCATTCTCTTGAATACTGGTTAGGAATTTGTTCTCCTGAATTTGAGAAATGTTTTGTCCTTACTTTTGTTTCCTGTCTTTTTCTAGTCGCAATCCAAAGTAGGCACAGTCTCAACAAAGACTAAACATTTAGCAAACAAAGAAAAGGAAAACACACAAGTCATATGATTTATTTATTTATTTAAAAATAAAAAAAAAATTAAGAGGACAAAAATTAAAAAATTTAAAAACATGTGGACAAAAATCAAAACCATGTATTTTGAGAATACGTTTTTATTTAAAAAACGTATTCTTGAAATACATTTTACAAAATTATAGAATAAAACGTATTCACATAATACGTTTTAAAAAAAATTAATAAATAAAACGTATTTTGGTTATACGTTTTATAAATAATTAAGAACTAAACAAATAATTAAAAAATGAAATGTATTATCTAAATACATTTTATTTCTTAATTATTTATAAACTGTATTATGATAATATATAAATAATTAAGAAATAAAACATATTTTGATAATACATTTCATATTTCAAAATTAATGAACAAAAAAATTAATATATAGTATGTGTTGTGTGTTTTGAGCCCGTTTGGGTTCGTCTGAACTCGGAATTAAATTCCGTTTTTTCCTATACATAGCTAACGAACCCCTCTATTCAATGATGCATATATGACCAAATTATTCTTGAAAGCATATTCTACCAAAGCTCTTGACCTACACATTAAACGTGTTTCGCGCGACTTTGCTTTTTGGGCCCGTTCAGACTCGTCCAAACTCGAAATTGATTTCTGCTTCTTTCTATATGTCGCCAACGAACCCATCTACACAACCATGATTGCCCGGTCTTTCAAAAATACATTTTTTGATAATACGTTTTATATTTCAAAAGTACTGAATAAAAAAATTAATATATAGTATATGTTTTGTGTTTTGGGCTCGTTTGGACTCGTCTGAACTCGGAATTGAGTTCCATTTTTTCTTATACGTAACTAACGAACCCATCTATTCAATGATGCATACATGACTAAATTTATCTTGAAATTATATTCTCCCAAAGCTCTTGACCTACACGTGAAACGTGTTTCGCGCGACTTTGCTTTTTGGGCCCGTTCGGACTCGTCCAAGCTCGAAATTAATTTCCGCTTCTTCCTATATGTCGCCAACGAACCCATCTACACAACCATGATTGCCCGGTCAATTTTAGGGCTAAATCTATTCCTCACGGACTAAATAATTAACAGATCACCCATTATATAAATAGATGGTCCACGGAGGATTTGTTAATAGGTGATTTGTTAATTATTTAGCCCCGTGAGGAATAGATTTAACGCGAAAATTGACCGAGCAATCATGGTTGTGTAGATGGGTTTGTTGGCGACATATAGGAAGAAGCGGAAATCAATTTCGAGCTTGGACGAGTCGAACGGGCCCAAAAAGTAAAGTCGAGCGAAATACGTTTGATGTGTAGGTCTAGAGCTTTGGGAGAATATGATTTTAAGAATAATTTGGTCATGCATGCATCATTGAATAGAGAGGTTCGTTAGCTACGTATAGGAAAAAACGGAACTCAATTTCGAATGGGCGTTGTTGTCGTTCGCAGTCACGACATCTTCTACCTCCACCATTGTTGGCAGGGGGTTGATGCTCCCCCTCTGTGACTGTGTTTTCTGGGATGGGACATAGTCCTCCTCGGATAGAACTTGACTGAACGACGCTCCTTGTGTGACCTCTTGGCCTCCAACAGTCAGAGAACTATAGGCAATGTTGTAGAACTGTTGGTCAGATAACTATAGGCAATGTTGTATGACCGTCGGAAAGCGGCATGTGCCCGTGGAGGGAGTGTAAGAAATATATCTTGAATATTCGCTAACAAGTTATAAACCCGCTCCAGGGCTTGAGTCTGAAAATAAAATTCAAAGTAATTAGTATGAAACACAAAAAAAAAAAAAATAAATAAATAAAAAAAACCCACAGATTATGAACACTTACATCGCACTTCTCTCACTCGGCAACTGTCTGATAGTCGTCGTCCTGTTGGACTACCGTGTACTTGGTAGGGTCACTGATAAGTCTTACAGTCGTAGTCCTGTTGGACCACCGTGTACTTGGTAGGGTCACTGATAAGTCTTACAGTCCTAGTGTAAAACCAATCAATGTAACCCTACTCAGCCTGTAGAAAGTGATCCACAGGGGCATCTTGGAGGACATTTTGTTTTCTTTCATCGACTCAGCCGTTGGTAAGCTGTGAATGAAAGGCGGGCCGATCACCAAATGCCCTCCCAGTCATTCCACAGCCTCTGTGATTATTGCTCACCACTAATCATCGAATTTTGGGGAATGGACTGCTGACACCCAAACTAACGGAGAACCTTATCAGACAAGTGTACTTCACGTATGTTCCAACAGAAGATCCACCCCCTATACATCCAAATATGTTGATCTTCTGTGCACTCATCCGGGAGAGTACCTATAGTTTTCTGACTGTTGAAGGCCAAGAGGTCACACAAGGGGCGTTCAGTCAAGTTCTATCAGAGGAGAACTACGTCCCATCCCAGAGTACACAGTCACACATGGCGAGGCATCAACCCGCTGCCAACATTGGTGGAGGTAGAAGACGCCATGACCGCGAACGACAACAACGCCCGTTCGGACTCGTCTAAGTTCGAAATTGAGTTCTGTTTTTTCCTATATGTAGCTAACGAACCCCTCTATTCAATGATGCATACATGACCAAATTATTCTTGAAATCATATTCTCTCAAAGCTCTTGACTTACACATTAAACGTATTTTGCGCGACTTTGTTTTTTGGGCTCGTTCGGACTAGTCCAAGTTCGTAGTTGAGTTCCATTTTTTTCCTATATGTCGCCAACGAACCCGCCTACACAACCATGATTGCCCGGTCAATTTTTGGGTTAAATCTATTCCTCACGGGGATAAATAATTAACAAATCACCTATTAACAAATCCTCCATGGACCATCTATTTATATAATGAGTGATTTGTTAATTATTTAGCCCGTGAGAAATAGATTTAACCCGAAAATTGACCAGGCAATCATGTTTGTGTAGAATGGTTCCTTGGCGATATATAGGAAGAAGCGAAAATTAATTTCGAGAGCTTTGGGAGAATATGATTTCAAGAATAATTTGGCCATGCAAGCATCATTGAATAGAGCGGTTCGTTAGCTACGTATAGGAAAAAAATGGAACTCAATTCCGAATTCAGACGAGCCCAAACGAGCCCAAAACACAAAATACATACTATATATTAATTTTTTTTTCATTAATTATATATAAAACGTATTATGATAATACGTTCTATTTCTTAATTATTTGTTAAACGTATTATCAAAATACGTTTTATTTATTTTATACTGTTTTTTCAATTATTTTAAAAAAATAATATTTTACAAATATAATTTTAAATGTATTACCATAATACGTTTTTTTAAAAAAAGTAATTAAAAAAACGTATTATGAGAATACGTGCTTTTTATTTTTGTCCATAATTTTTTTTTCTTTTTATTTTTGTCCAGTTAATTTTTTTTTTTTTTTTT